AAGAGTTAAAAATAGTCTATTTTTAGCTAATTGTTTCAAGTTCTTCAGATTATAACCAAAAAGGGCTAGAAGGCTGCTTTTGAACCCATTCTAGTGAAAGATGGTATTTGAAAACTTTTGATGGAGGAAATTGCTGCCATATTTACATTTTGAAAAGTGTTTCCTTATTTACACACTATTGACTTCCTATTGAGACTCAAAATTTTAAGTCCAACTGGTAAAGAATTTAGTGGATCAAACTCAGTAAATCTGAAGTCACTGGAATAAAGGCCCCTAAGGAAAAAAAATGTGTCAATTTTAAAGGTCTTTCCTAACTGAAGACCATTTTGTGATAGAGCCAAAGGTTAATAAAATCAGTAGTGAATGTAGCAATTTTACAGATAAGCTATTCACAACAAGTGTAGTTACTTGAATAAAAAGCTAATTCAGTTCTAAAATGCCACATGCAGTAGCAGTGAATAGCTGCTTTTAGGTGCTTTCTGGAGGAGGATAAAATACAGAATCACGGCACTCTTCTCTCCCAGCGTCCCTGGCTGCCTGTAAATTGCTGTGAATGGGGCTGTGGGCTGACAGGCTCTATTAAGACAAACTGCCTTTCTCATCGGAGAGATAAAATAAATCAGGTGTTTAGTCAAATTAAAATACTTCAGCTGGAGCAGGCCCTGGGGAGCCCTGATCCACCTGACTAATCTGAGAGAAACTCAAGACAGATGTGGTTTGGGGATAAAGACGACCCCATGGAAAAAAAATAAAAAACTGCTGCACTGTCTTTGGAGTTGGAGAACAGATACAGTTTAGAGCGAAAAGTGTCAGGCGCACACTGTGTGTGATACTGGATAAAAGCAGGCACACTGACCTGTAGAGAAGCTGTGTGCAGGAGCTTTCCTTGCTGGTTCCTTTTTTGCGGTTTATGAAACTACCTCTGTTTTTGTGTGGGAGGGACACATTTCTGGCAGTGCTTTTTAGAGAACTGTTTTAAGATTGCCCCAAGGATGTGAACCAGATGATGTCAGGCAGCTACTAATGACCTCTGCTGGCCTAGGCAGAACCTCAGTATCTGATCTACCTTTTTTCCAAGTTGATTGTATCAAACCTCAAAATGATTTAAGACAAGATTTTCTCATAGAATTAAGCTACCTCAGAAGAGCATTCTATGTGGCCCTTTGTCTTCCTTGACATAGGCTGACAGCATGCAGGTTGCCTCACTATGTCCCATAAATTGTCTTCTTCATCAACAACTCTGGTAGTTATAGTTCCTTTGCCATGGCAAAGTTGGATGTTTGATTAAACTCATATTTTTTGAGATAACTTTTCTTTTCAGGGTGGTTGGTCAGTGTGATTCAGACTTGATGTTATTTTTATTACAGCAACATAAATATTTACTGTTAATTAAAACAGAAAACCTAGCACCACAGAGTTTGAACCAGTATATGTGATCAAATACAATGGGTACAGAACAGAAAAATGACCACACACACACATTAGCCTACACATTTAAAGAATGTAAGCTATTGTATGGTGTAAGTTGATTTCTCTTTAATTTGACCCCCAAGGGACTAATGGCACACTCTCTCTCTCATCTATCTATCTATCTATCATTACATATATATATATATATATATATATATATATATATATATATATATATATATATATATATATATATATATACACACACATATATATATATGTGTGTGTGTGTGTGTGTGTGTGTATAAAATTTCCCATTCAGGGGTAATATTAGATTTGTTACATTACTACATTTCATTCCTACTGCATTTGTTATTCCACTTTCATCTATTAGAAATATATATGTGCTTCTCAAATGTAAGGAAAAGATAGCAACAGACTAATATGAGTGCCTAAATCCTATTAAAAATATTGATATATGACTTGATTTTTTCTTAAACACATTTTTAAGTTCAATGAAAAACTTATTTAGATGTCACGAATTTTTATAATTAATTTGAATCATTTTTGGAAAAATGATTAAATAAAATGGTGTTATTCTGTAAATTTAGATATACTTATACATGTCTATTAGCATTGGAAGCACCAGTGCATTTACAGACCCATTGGCTTCACTTTGAACAGAAGAGGCTAAGAAGTTGCTCATGGGTCATACTCAGCTTCTTTTTTCCTGTGCGGAGGTGAAAGAGGGAAGTATTGATGATTATTGAAAAGACATTATTAAACCTAGGAGAAGTGAAAATTTTCCAGTCTCTGTATTGATCTTTGACTCAAATTTCCTATGAATGCCCTTCTTCATTAATAAAGAACTATGGTTGAGTAACTTTCCCAGTATCCAATAAGATTTCTCTTAACTTACCTCAAATAGACAGGTATAACAAGAAAATTACACATAGATCAGAATGTGGCAAAAAATGTGTAATACAATGTGCATATTTCCAATTTATTGATTTTCATAGGTTTCCAAACTATTCTCTACTCTGTAACCAAAATGACCACATCATCCTTGCTTAAAATATTTTAGTGATTTTGGAATATCCTTAGAATAAATATGAAGTTGATTAGCATTGTCTACAATGAGCTGAAATGTGTGACCTTTTTCTACCTCTCTAGCCTCACCTGGTATTCTACTCCCCCTTATTTTCCTTGCTTAAGCCTTATTACCTTCGTTCACCTTCTGGAACACACTGAAACTCCTCCTCCCCCACTCCAGAGGGTCTGTGCCTACTTGTTCTTTCCTTCTGAAAGCTCCTTGACCACCCTGCAACTCTTTGCCTCGTTAACTCTATTCATCTTCCTGTGAATGTCTTACTTTTTCAGCCATACCATTCCTCTACTTGGGCCTCCCAAACATGGTTAAACCTACCCTCAGATATCTGTCCTGTGTGTAAATCTTATTTAGTTGTAGTTGACATTCACATGTGTGATCACTTGATTAAGGTGTCTCCCCACTTTGGACTACAAATTGCATGAGAGTAGGGAACTTGGCTTTTCCTTACCATGGTTTCAGTATCCTCAGTTCTTGATCTAGTACCTGGCATATAGGTGCCATTCAGGAAAAATGAATGAAATGAATAAATAAATTAATTTCATATTTGCTTTATAGCTTGTTTTATATCATACTTGTTTTATTCCTATGCATATTAACATATACGGTAGCAGAGTCTGTGGTGCTTTTGAAGAAATTTTTTGATCTCTGGGGGAGAACCTGCTTTTGTATTTTAGTGTTTCAGGATCAAGAAGTTCTTTCTTTTACGAAACTGAAATTCCTATTGCTAAAATAAAAGCTAATTTTTAAAAATCAATTTGAGTACCTAGAAAGACAGCTCTTCACTATCCTGGATACAGAATTTGTTCCCTTATCAGTGGAATGCATTTTCTAACATCATTTCTATTATCTTGTTTTTCTTCTAATCTTGATTTTAGGTCATCTTTCTACTCAGTGAATCTTTAAGGGATAAAGATATTGACAGTTTATTTGTTTGTTTATTTGTTTAGGATTTGGATTCACATTAAGCATCCTAAGGTAGCCCTGGCCAGATGGTTGAGTTGATTAGAGTGCTGTCCCATACACCAAAAGGTTTTGGGTTCGATTCCTGGGCACATACCTAGGTTACGGGTTTGATTCCCAGTGGGGGTGTGTACAGGAGGCAACCAATCAATGTTTCTCTCTCTCAAAAATCAATAAACATGTCCTTGGGTGAGGATTTTAAAAAAAAAATCCTAAGGTGGTCCTAAATGTAGCTTCTCTGCTGACATCAGTCTTACCTTCTGGGAATCATATACTAGCAAGTGCTAGCTCCAGCATCTTCTGAAGGATCCCTTTCTCCATGGGGCCACTCAGAAAATATGGCCACTCTTAATTAAAATATTTTTAGTTTCTCAGATACACTGGTGTTTTCTTAGCAGGAATGAAGGGGGTTTCATAAGGAGATTGGAAGTCTGTACTTCCACACACACAAAAATCGGCAATCTTTGTCCCCTTTGACAGCTGGTGGCATCTTTCTGAAAAGCTTTCAAATCATAGATCATTTTTTCATAATGAAACCTGTGTGGCTCAAATACAGTGGGTTGAAATTCTTATCTTATGCGGCGGTAAAATGCTCTAATTTAGATTCACAAAAGGATTCTGTACCCTCTACTTAGGAGAGCTGTGCAATTTGCCCATAAAAAGACTGCTCAGCACCATTAGTACATACCATAAGTGTTCACTGACATCATATTCATTAAACAGCACACCCTTATGCATAACCTTTTCAACCTTGAATGTGTTTTTTCTCTTTGAAGGATGACAAATGACAAAGGGGAGCAGGAGCCCCCCAAGCAACATTGTTGCCTTTAAGGATGAACTTGGGAACTTCAGCTTGATCCCCTCACAGGGGGAAAAAAAAGTCAGGTTCAATCCTTTCTTACCTGGGGCAAGGAAGGCAGTTGTTTCTTTGTCCAAGGCCAAGAGAGTGACCCCTGACTTCTGAGCTTCAGAGACAGATCTTTGCATAATAGAAAAATTTTATGAGGGACATGACCAAAAAAGAATTCCTTAAATAACATTTATTAAGCACCTATTATATCTTAAATCCTATGTCAGCCACTGAGGATAGAGTGATTATAGAATATTAATACAACCCACAGTTTCTAATCTTTGGTACTAAGTATCATTTGTTTCCTAGCTTGATATGATAGATTTAGGGGAGGAAGGGAGAGGAGTGTGGTGAAAGAGAGAGAATGGACTAAGTAATTCTGCTTTTTTTGCATTTGTTTGGTTTGGTTTTTAAGAGCAAGAGGGAAGAGCAAGTTGAGAATTTTATTGGTAGCTATACTTTTTCTTGGAAGGGGCAATGACTAACCATAGCATCCACTACATCCCTTACTCTGTAGTGTTCCTACACTCACAGTGACCTCCAGTTATTCCCCCATATCTTCACGTGTCTTAGGGTACTCCCTTTCTAATTCTGTCCCCCTCCTACCCTTTCCCCAGTTCATTCATACTTTTCTCAAACTTGTGAGATATCTTCTTGTTTCCATTTTAGGTACACCTGAGAGCCTGGCAGAAAAAGAACGACAGCTCTCTACCATGATTACCCAGCTGATTAGTTTACGGGAGCAGCTCCTGGCAGCGCACGATGAGCAGAAAAAACTGGCAGCCTCACAAATTGAGAAACAACGGCAGCAAATGGACCTTGCTCGCCAACAGCAAGAACAGGTGAGCCCTGCAAAGGGAGCTGACAAACAGGAGAAGTGGAATGTGCCAAGCTCAGGGAGCAATCACGTTGATTGGTTTATTTGTCATAAGCATTCCCCCCAAAAGAAGAAGGAGAAGGAGAGAAACAAAGAAGCCTTTTGTAAATCAGGGTCTTCAAGAATACTGAGGGGTTACAGAGAGGACAAAGAAAGACATCAGAGCACCTGGGCATAACTGAAAAGATAACGTGGTTCCAGAACATTTGGATTTGATTAATTACTCAGGGATGCTTGTTCACATAGGCAGCTCTTGTCTTCCCAATGTAGCTTCACCATGAGGACGTCACTTTTGTCTGGGCCTTACTCTTCTCATCCAAAAAAAGAGCGTTCTGGTTTAGAAAAACTCTGAGGATCTTTAGCTCACAGATCCAATGATATTTTTCTAACTTTAAAGCTAAGGGGATCACACATCTGTTTTCCAGAATAAGTGTTCACAATCTCCCCTTCACTTGCAAAAGTTGTCCAGGTTTGGATGCCAAATTATATGGTCACTATTTATAGCAGAGGTAAATCACCGAACACAAATTAGCACTCGGCTCCAATAGGGATTCAACTTCACTAATTTAGAAGTGAGAAGGAAGAAAAAGTAGCAAAGTTTAAATGTATGTCTTTTAGCACATAAATCACTTTCCCAAATGTTTTTTCTGTCTCATAAGAGTGCATTCATCTGACAGCAGTGATCCTATAGAGGAGTTCCTGATGCTTTAGATCAGACAGACCCAAATTAATGCGCAGTTTTTAGGGATCTGACATTATTACTGGAATTATCTTTTCAGTTAAATGTATTTTATAGGGGTATATAGAGCAATATATGCTCTGTTGATTTTAATGAGTTGTGACGTCTGGTATTTTATATGCTTGAATATTTGCCCACATGTAGGAATATGGACTCAGCCCCTAATGGAAAATAACATAAAGGAACACTGTAAAAAGTCAGAAGTTAGAATGTCATTTAGCCATCCAGAGATGACACAGTAATTAACTATTGACACTTGTGAATAAGCTAGCACAAATTAATCTTGACACATTTGCAGACGAGTGATATCTTACAGTGAACACTTTGTAATTATATTTCAAAATGAAAATTAAATGACACTTAAAACTAGGTTGTCATGCTCAATGAAGCGAGCATGTAGCTCAACCGATTGGCAAATAAAATTCAGAATTTGAGCCACATGGTGCTTATGTACCATACTTCACTGTGTCAAAGCCATACGTCTAGAGTGGATGATAGTAATTGCACTGTGGTGTTCTGGATGCATTTCTATGCAGCACTTTATCATTTATGAGGGACCATCAATATTAGATGCCTAGTGGTGTTTCACTGGTTTGCTAAGAGGAAATAAATATTCAGAGGATCCAGCATCCAAACCTAAAGTCACAGAGTGAGTGAGTGAGTTGTCCATTTCTTTTTTAAAAATTTATATCATTTTTTAATTTTTCAATTACAGTTGACATACAGTATTATATTAGTTTCAGGTGTACACCCCAATGATTAGACATTGCATAACTTGTAAGTGATCATCCCGATAAATCGTGTACCCATCTGACACCATACATAGTTATTAGAATATTATTGTCTATATTCCCTATGCTGTACTTTTCATCTACATGTTTATTCTGTAACAACCAATTTATACTTCTTAATCCCTTCACCCTTTTCACCCATCTCCCCAACCTGCCCATGTCCATTTCTAATTTGAATGATGCCAAGCAAAGTGGGCCCTTCCAACCTCATTAGGTACTGTTTGTATTTTGCTTATAGTGCTTTGGGGAGAAATGATCTTATTTCTCAAACTGTTTGGGACAGCTTTATCATGACTTCCGGTATGAGCCAGTCATCACCAGAAACCTTAAAGCAGTAGTTGGGAGCAGGCTGCTATTTCATCATCTTCTGTGGAATGAAAATGTGATTAGGGTGTTTCCCTTTGCTCTAAGCTAAAGCATCAAAAAGATTCAAAGCATAGAGCTGGGGGTTGATCCACACTCATTTTCACATCCAACATTGCTCATTCTAGAATATTGGTTTTTGGAAAAAGAAAAAAAATATGACACCCCCCCCGCCCCTACCATAACTCTTGGCTAAAGGCCACCACTAAATCAGTCTAAGACCTCTGTAGCTACTTTCTCTCTGCCTTTCTAGGTCAGAGTATGTTCTCTCTAAGGGGTATTGCCCTGGGCCTCCAGCTATTGTAGCAGCTCAGCTTTTCAGGCAATAAGTAGCCTGATGCCTAACTCGGTTTCACAGTAAACACCCTTACTCTAAAGAAGTTGTTTGTTCTCCTGAGGGGAAGGTTAGGTTTTCTGTGGGGCTTGCATGAAGCAGTTAATATTTCTTTTTATAGACCAGATGATATGTTAAGATATTAAACTTGGTTGTTGGATGAAGCAAGGGGAATGTAACAGATTGCCTTCAGAAAGATAAATGGATAAATATTAAATTTTGTTTTAAAAAAGGCTTTGTTCTTCACTTCATTGATGTACCTTTGTAAACCAACAAAAAGAGATCATGATTTTTGACATTTTGCTGTGTTTTCTTGGTATTCCCTTGACAATATTTGTCTTTTCAGTTCTGAAATTCTTTACATTAGAAAAGGCTTCACCAAAGTCAACCATATTCTAATTAATAGAAATTTCTTTCCTGTTTCTGCTTATAGATTTTACTTTTTTTACATCCAATTAAGCTCTTTAGAAAGATGTAGCCAGAGTTTTTCCATCTTTATTCCCCAAGGGTCAGATTTCAAAACTCCCATTCTTTCCAGATGACCAGTGAAGATATAGATGAGCTGCTCACAAGTGTGACATGAGGGGTAGTTTTCACTGACAGCTAAAGAGTGGGGGGTAAGCAGAGAAATGGCACCAGTTTGAAATTGTTTCTTTTCTCCAAATTTCTGGTTCTGCCTCTCTCATTCTATAGGAACTCTTTCATATAGAAGTGCAGTAAAGCATTCTTGTAATACCAAGAGAGGTGCCTGAAGTAATGGCAAAGGTGTAAGCATTTCATGTTAACTTAATGTAACTTTATTTCTGATAGATTGCAAGACAACAGCAGCAACTTCTGCAACAGCAGCACAAAATTAATCTCCTGCAGCAACAGATCCAGGTCAGTGTATTTTATTACTCTCGTTTGATTATATTCAGATACTTTCCTCCTTGAAAATGGAATTTAAAATGTTACAAATGCACCCCTCTCTTGTAAACAGCACCAATATGGCTACTATTCAAGAATGCTGTATACAGTTGTGTAAGTGGATGTAGGAAATATCGACTAAGTGGTGGTGTAAGCATCCTTTGTGATGTGATGCATAAGCCAAAGAAAAAATCCTATCTTTCTTCTTTCTGCCATTTGCCTGACACCACCTCCTGGAAACCCAGTGGTTTCCCAGGTAGCTGACACATGCTATGTTGATTGTCCCAACCAATTTCTGCTTTGTATTTTACGGCCTGCTTTGTCTAACGGTATCATGGGGAGAAGCTGATGTTTATTTAACTTGTTAGGACTGTCTGATTTGGCTAGCTGTGAGAACAGTCTTATTACCTAGGAAAATGTTGGTAATAATTAATTCATTCTTTAACAAATATTAATTGCATTTCTGTTAGATGCTGAGGGCAATGTAAAGATTAACAAATGATTGTCTTCAAGGAGCTTATAGTCTAGAGAGGAAGAATAACTTGTTTCTGAATAATTATAATGCAATTTAGAAATTCTCTTTTTTTGTTGTGGCAGAGTAACACTGTATATAGGTCATAATGACAATGGTCTGGGAAGGAATTTTGGTTTTTGTCATTCCTTTGTGTACTTGGTGGTTAATTCAACTCACAGCTTTTTGAGATAGGTAAGGAAGCGGTCTCCATTTTTGAATAGCAACAGAGGGGTGGTTGTCTGATGATTAATCCTCAGGAATACTGATGCCAGAGTTATTATGTACCCACCACAGCCTCTGCTGTTTCTCTTGGCTGCTGTGGGTATTTTCTGACCACTGAGCTCTGTGATTCAGCCTAGTTGGCATAGTATATTCTGAACTTTATTATTTCTTTCCTTGAGATTAATACTACGCCTTTCTGTATTCTTAAAAAATCATTCACATAATGTCATAGCTTACTCTGATCTCCTACCTTATTAATGAAAGCCAGTGATTTTAACTTAGATCCTTGCTTCATTTTGTTAATCATACTTAGTGTTCCAGGAAGTACTCACTGCATTTAAAATACCAGCTGAAGAAGTACCTGTACCTCATTGGGCTATCATCATGAGGAGGTTTTAACCAGTAGTTTGTTGTGGTGGTGGTTGTCTTAAAATTCGTTCTGATTCTGTATTCCATATGTGAGTCTGTATGTTTCAGAATCAAGAGTTCAAATGTAGAGGAAAGGGAGTGTCTCTGGTGTTTTTGACAGTCAGCCTTGATAATTAAATCTTGGAATAACTTCTCATTCTGATATCTCTTTTATAACTCATGCTGAGATACTTAATTAAATAACAGTCCAGGTGTTCTCTTGCTCTGCCCTTATTAGAATTTTCAGTGTGTCTCCTCTCACTAAGGTCAAGATGTTTAGCCTGTGGCTTCCTACCTTTTTCTCAAAGTCCCTCTCTAAAAACGCAGTAGGTGTTAAATACCCTGATCATTTAGTTCTCTCTGTCATATTTGTAAAGCACCAATGGAAGAAGTTCCCTGAGATGTTCTCATATCAGTTACTTATTTATTAATGTTTTTTACTACCTCTTCATTACTTCTTTATTTTGATTGTATTCACTTATTAGTTCAATGTTGTTTGTATTAAGTGGCTGTCTTAATTGGTGTTTGCCTGTGGTACTGAGGCTTTCAGATGAATAGCAAACAATTCAAAGTATTTTTATGAAGTATTATTACTATTTATTGATTACATATGATTTTATAGTTACATCTTGACTACATGAAATTGATGTGTTTTTCTGGAAACTAGCACTTGATCTTAAAATATTCATCAGAATGTTCAATTTGAGGAGATAGAAAAATAGTTGTTCCAAGCTTTCTAGTAGAAGTTTAATTGCTTTTAACATTTGTGGATATTGCTCAATGTATAATTTTTTTAAATGAAGCTAATCAACACTTGATCTCAGTGGTATAAATTATAAAAGCATAGAGAGATTCAGAGTGTCAGAGCTATATTCACTTTAGAAATACAGGATTCTTTGTAACCAGGATTCATACTGTAAAAAATAAGAGGAAGCAATAACCTATATTTACATTTTCTTCTGTCCTGAGTTACTGTTTACTGCATATCTTCTCAGTATTTATCTTTTCAGTATGAGACCATTGAAAGAATTTTTTAAATGCTGAAAAACACTCATTCCTTACACAACACATATTCTATCTCTGACATTTTATTTACTATCCAGACTTGTAGTTATTTTTTTGAAAGGGGAATGGGTTGACTGTATTTTTAAACATGGCTTTTGATAAGTCATAGACATGATCAAGTTTAGGAGAGAGATTATTTTTGGGCCAATTTTTAATATATTTTTTGAGCAAAACATGAGAATGAGATTTAAGCATGAGATGCTTCTAACATTTTTCTATCATGAAAGAAATATTCTCCCTTTTGGAAACAAAACAGTGAAATAATAAACACAAAACCTAACTTCTCTTCTGAAAGCAAATAAATATGGAGACAATTTGAGCAAGCTTGACCATTTTTCTTTTCTTGAAATCCTGAGTCCTAGAACCTATAGCTAACACAGTCTGCGAGATGGGGCCTTGGCAACTGGCTGTGGACCGTGAGTGTCAGGTGGTTCCAAGCAAGACTGCACTTTACATTGGGTTCAGAAAGCCAACTTCTTAAACAGCAACTTCAAAACAACAGCAGAATTAGTGCTGCTGTTTTGGAATTTGCAAGCTGTAATAGAAAGAAAGAAAAGAGTATCTAACCTCTTATAACAACCACAAACACATCTGGGCCTATTGTAGTGGAAACGAATGGCAACCTGAATGGTTTGCACAAATTTAAAAGCAGGATTTTTCACTAGAAATAGGAAAAGGTATGATTAAGGTGCTATTGTAATGCTATTTTAGTGGCTTATTTTATCTATACTCATTGAAAATTTATATATGCAGTTAAAATTATTTTATTTATATATATTTTTCTTCCTTGAATATAATTTTTTTAATATAATTTGCCTTTGTAAAGCCCAACTAAGTTTTGAAAGACATACTTTTAAAACCATGTAAGCCTTGTTTGAAAAGTAAGATGAATGATTTTGGGAACGAATATTTTAATATTTTTGAAGAGTCCATTTTTACCATTAAAAATCAGGTTAATAACTTTAAACAATTATTAAAATGCTTTAATATTAACAGACCTTTTAGGAGGCTGTTTGCTTAATGAATTCAAATCCCTCTGTGCTTTGGGGAAAATGCTGATTCCTCATTTGTTACATATTAAGTAATTCCCCTGATGTGGATGGAGCCCCCACAAAAGTTAGATAATTTTGCTATTTTTAGGACAAGAATAGCACAGTATTTATCCACTCTATGGAAAGCAAAACTAGTAGATCATTGAATGTGGGTTCATGGAGTTGGGAATGTTGAGTCTCCTGCTCTAGCTCGAGAGGATGGGTAACTGCTTCAAATGTCATTCTCCTTCTTCTGCTCTGTCTCTTACCAGTCTTGAAGAATTTTATTTTGGAGTTATGTTGATCAGAAAACAACATTTTCTGGTGAGGTAGGGGAGAGCATTGGGGGAAAAATTGGGACAACTGTAATAGAACAACAATAGAAAAAAGTTTAAATAAAAGGAAACAAAATTTTCTTTTAATCCATTGGCTGTATCAAAGCATATTTACAGTATTTTAATCAACTATTACCTATACAAGGTGGGCAAAAGTAGGTTTACAGTTATAATACAAATAAATAATAGGATAATCAATAATAATACAAGAATAAACTCTGTGTTTTGTGTACTTACAACTGTGAACTTACTTTGCCCACCCCTGTAAGTCTAGTCTAAGCAAAACAAGACATAGTTTGTAAATCCTGATTTTTTGATCCACCCATGCATGTATTTATTCATTTACCGTCATTTGACTCTGTCATAGTTTTTGAATCTAGAGGAGATACTCTTCATGGATACGACACAACACATTCTTTTGATAGTATTTCAATAGGAACACATTTAATGAGGGTATTTTGCTGCTAGAACTTAATCTTTGCAAGAGAATTCAGCTCATTAAAATATCTTTGTGAAGAACCTACTTCTCCAGGCATGAATGGTGTTACCCAATTATTTATGTCCATTCAGACCCCAATTTTAATGGTATTCAAGTGGCTTGTACTGTGTGCTATACAGAGAAAGTGTCCTCTCCTTATATCACTGACCGAACAACAATTGTCTCTTAAGAATGGACTGCTGGTAGATTTTATTTGGGCATTTGGCTTCCTGGGCCAGGGCCAATGATTTAGTCAACTCATACATCCACCTTCTAGAGTATAATTGTGAATCTTGAAATTCTTAGCTCTTTGTTAATTTTTACAGTTAAAATACAGTATCAATTGCCCTCCCCTCATCTTTTAATACATTTATTAACCGGTGAGCTCAATCTGTGAGAGGCCCGAGTAAGTGCCATTGCTGCTGCCTTGCAGATATTCTTGGTCTTGGACAAAAACTCACTCTGTTAAATGCTGTGGTACATGCTGCTTATTTACAAAGCCAAGTGTTGGTCTTCACTGATGTTTCTCTCAAGGGTATATGAGTATTTTTTCATACGTAGTGTTTTCTATTTTGGTTATAATATATTCCTGTGTGTTATTTGTGTATTTTGTCTCTGTGTGTTTGTCACATGGTAGAACACTATTAAATACATCATCTTCTTTCTTCCTGTCTATTAACCAGAAGTGATGTTAATATTATAAGTGAGGAGGTGATTGTTCTTAAATGATTAAATAGAATAACTTGAGTTGTACTCTCACCTTTTTAGGAGGTAATCCTTGCCTTTTGTTTCCTTCAATATGATTAACTACAAGCATTTCAGGTATCTGCTGAGCAGAATAAGGACTACCATTTATGTGCAGGAGTTGTCTAAAGATCAGGAATAATTACTTTGTACATTAGCCTTCATGGCCTGCATGA